TATTTGCAGAAATTTTCCTGCACCACCTTATACTCTAGCCTGCTATATAACACCGTTAAAATATTCCATTCTGCATTTTTCTCAATTTAGATGGTCTTCTTTATCCTTATATCATTTATCTATCTTCTATTTCTACTTATTGAAAGGATGGCTGTCTCTCTGTCAATGCCAAATATTTGAGGCGACTCCTGTAGAGGCACTGTTGAGATAACATAAACCACCCTCTACCCATATCTGATATTAATTCGTTTAAATGCACCACTTTGCAAATATTCTTACTTAATATAAAAATGTGTATCCTCTCCATTTGATAATTTGTTTAATATCTATTTTTTCTAATCATGTAACTATCATTTGAGCGAGTGTTTGTTGTCGAAATTGTCTGTGACGAGTTGTTTCGGTTGAAGACATTGTCAGGACAAATTTCTACCGTACATTTTTTTCTTTGAACTCAATTTACTACTTGGTCGAATGGGAGTGACCCCGTCCCCCATTTGAACGTACAGAAACACCCCTTCTCTTGCAGTTTTTTCCATGTCGTTTTGACAGGAACAACAACCGATATATATTTTCTGAATATATTTATTCTGAATTTTTATGTTGTGAAGGAGTGCTATCTTTGTGAAAATGAGAAGAGAGAAATAATAAGATAGTTTTACAGAAAGTCAAAGAATAAATTGAGGGTGAGTATCAGAGGTGCACGGATGTGAAATCAGACAGTGGCTGGAGAGGGTCCGAGATTGTTTATTTGTTTTAAGATTGGGAGTGAAATGTAAATGAAGTGAAATGGTTTGATAAATTGTGAAATTGCAATGTTGACAATTTGGACGGGAGATTTTGGGAGAAATAATGATCGAGAATTACCTCGGTCCAGAATCTTATGTGTGTAGTCCGAGTGTGCGATATGATACGAATTTGTTTTCAAAAGTGTGTGCATATATTAAAATATTTACCTGTGTACTGACTGTATATATATATATATGAACATGTGTAAGAGTGCGCCGGGTCTTCACACTTATGGGGGGAGGTATTCTTTATACAATCATTACAATTTTAACAACCTTCTGTTAAAAGCTATCCAATAGGATATGGGATAACAGCAGCACATACCACCAGTTATAACTGTTTTTTGTTTATGTACTTGATATTGTAGCATAGTGAATGTTTATTACGATTATATGTTGTATTATGTAAGTGTTCACGTTTCTGTCTTGAAAAAGGGACTGATTACCTTAAAAATTAGACGAATTTGTTTGTCTGACTGTCGTGATTAATTCTTTGCTTATATAGTACGCCAAAAAACCGCTACTGTTACTATGTGCCTAAAGATCTAATACAGTGAAAAACGTTTACGTTATGTCAATCCTATCACTTTCCACATAACACACAGTGCATCAACATAAACTAGTGTATATGATACATTGTGTTTATTGAATGTATACACACGTGACGAAGGAAGACAATTTTATTAATCTTAACCTGTCCGGGCCTCGAACCGACGAACTACAGCACCAAATCGCCTAGCTTAGGATTATCTGCAGTTCCCACCACTAAAGCACCCCACCTACTTTAATGTCTTCCTTCCTTGTTATTCTTTGTTGTTGTTGTTCATGAAAATAATATTATATTAATTAATTTATTAATATGAACATGTTTGGTGTTATACCGGTATATCTCTCCTCATTGAGATAATATCAGGTATCGGTCAATTAGCTATAACACAAGTCGCCTAGTTTATTAAACTGTTCACTGTTGAAGAAATCATTTATTTTTATGTTTAAGCACCTTTGTCAAAGCCATGGCAGTAACCTCGTCAAAATAGAAACCTTGGAAGAAAACTCGTGGTTGAAAACATTCGCGACGTTATCAGGTATTAAATATTACGATAAAACAATCAATTTTATACTAGTCATGATCCCGTTATAGCTTGAATTAGTTTTTTGTACTGTTTTACTTCATGAAGAAAAATCATTGTTCAAGTACATTGTTGTACCTCTTGAATCATATTCATCCATAGATTTCGTAAAAAACACATTGTTATATTTCTTGCCGATTTATTTCCACGTGTATGGATTTTGATATGTTAAAAAGATTATCCTTGGATTGGAGCAAATGACCGCGAGAAAGAAGGTGACTGGAGATGGATCTCGGACAACTCTACGGTGAAATTCTCAGACTGGAAAAACAGTGAGCCGAATAATTACGCTGATAACGAACATTGTGCTCACATATATTTTACAGTAGCTCAATGGAATGACCAAGACTGCTCCATGCTATTTGGATTCATTTGCGAGAAAGAAGGTTAGTTAATAACCTTTATCATATACGAAACAAAACAAATTTACAATCATTTTAAACTTGATAATTTTTTTATTTAACAACCTATCTGTATCGAATGCTATATACATACTTCAGAGGTTTTGAATGAGGTTATTTTCGATATTTTCATTTTTATTATGATATTGACATGGTACTAATACTTTAATACTTTACTAATAAACTAATACTTTGCTCCTAGACAAAGAATTACTATTGTCACGTCTAGTTATACAATGTGAATGTAAAATATATTGTTACATGTCAAACTTGTTTTGTCATGTGTCATCTGACGTTGTCCCGGTGAAAGGGACAGACATGTCAGACCTTAACACACGGTTCAGAAATCAAGTGTCGGTACCAGATGAATCTGCGTCCATAACGACCCTTATGTCTTGACTGGTTGTTAACTTGACAGAAAAGCAAAGGTAAGCGTTATTTTAATGTAAACAGTTCTGTATATTGAATTATAGGTATATATATATTTATTCGAACCATGTTAGTTTCATGAATTAGTTCATTTAAAGAAACGTTATATACAAAAATTACGCATACTTTGTACGTATACCTTTTTCGGAAAGGATAATTTATACGCTGCCGTTTTAATTGTTTTATTGTTCAATTTGGGATAAATGTATATATTTTATGCATCCGAAATGTTTATGACATGAGCATATAACGTACACTGATATGAAAATGAGAACAGCGTGGGAATCCCTTTCCTACTGATAGCGTTGGTTTGGTCAAGTAATTTTATTGCTTTTCTGTTTTCACTGAATATCAAAAGCAAACGTCTTACTATATGAATCGTTTGATTTGACAGTACCATCTTGTGTTGTGATTTTTTAAATGTCATTTGATGTTATATAGCAATTATTGGTTTTTTTCTGGCCTGTTAATAGTTTCGTTTGTTTCTTGTTTTTCTCTTTGTTGGAGGTCTCCTAATCTCTTAAATGTTATAAAGAACCGTTCAAAAAGCGAGATATCATCAAACATGAGCTAGATGTGAACGTAGGTTTATCAAAAAAAATAAAAAATAGCAAAGACATACAGATAGGTAAAGGCAGAAACTTTCTTAGATGCTATTTTCTGTTTTCACATCTATTAAATAAATATTGAACACCTGTATAATCGCTCTATTGCCTGTGAAGTTGTAGAAACAAATTGATTCATTGGTTGTTCAAGCGATATCAAATGCTTACTCAAAATGCTATAGCGTCCCGCTAAACTTATGTCAAAACATTGGCTTATGTCAATATCTCGAAATAACAATTCCATGTTTCAGTAATGGAGTCATTATCCATGGATCATTCGAACCATGTTAGTTTCATGAATTAGTTCATTTAAAGAAAAGTGATATAAAAACATTTTGCTTAAGCATAATATTTAGTATGGTGGCGTATATATGAAATTTCGTTCCTTCATTATTTCGCTTTATCAGGAACAATAAGTATCGTCATGTCGCCTTCGTGGCATAAGGGGCGAAGTACGATAATAAGCATTTTTCGTTTCGTCGCCTCTTCAGAGAGTTAAGGCACAGGAACGAAGATATCAGGGCGCTAATTAGCATCCTTTTATCTTCGTTTTGTCGTCTCCATTACTTCATATTTCGTTCTTTCACCTTTGTGTTTTGAAAGGCGATTGAATGAAGCTACGATAGGTGTCGTAACTTTGTCACGCAAGGACGAAAATTAGCCTGACTACGCCCCCGCGTTTAGCCAAAATGTAATGTAATAGTTATGACCTCAATGTAGCCAAAGTTCCTGATGTTTGTTTTGGTAGGATGGAGATACTGAAGACTCATAACGGTTGTCTGATAACCCCAGTCCCGCATTACTGACACACTATTCCTACCAAAAGGACTTGTAAAGACATAGCAGTTGCAAGGTAAAAGTTCATCTAAAGTGCTTTCTTTGAAAGAAGTCGATATAACTTACGTTCACTACACTATGTGCTATCGAATACATGTACCAGATAGTATATACATACTTCTACATGAACAAGCATCAATAAGACAAATATAGTTGAGCAACGCTAACACTTTTAATGCTTTTGGCTATCTTTCTGTGGTAATATTTATTGTCTAGGTTGTTGCTTCAATAAATTGTTGGAAATACTGTTACATTGCTGGTTTCAAATCGTGTCTCTATACATATTTACGTTTGAATATTTACCCTTCAATTTGGAAACAAAATATGAATTTATAATTAGCGAAAAATTGACGTTACAGTATTCTGTTCACTTTTAACATGCGCCTTTTTTATTTTAGAAATCACAAAAAAAGATTAGTGGATTGGAAGAGTTGGATGTGCTCTCTGAACAGGGATCTGAAATGCCTGCTATATTGTAAACACACCGATATCAGCGAGTGCAATACTTACTAGACATGACGACTTTTTGCGGATGTTTGAAATGGTTTATATGATAAACCTCCGAAACTACCATCGACTGTGTCCTCACTTATAATCGGCCTCTAGGAGAGAGGGGGTTGTCTAACTGTCTTGTGAAACAACAGTCACATACCAACCTTTCATGCTTCCTTTAGATTGTTTATTTCGCAAATATTTCACGGTAAATATATAATATTCAAATGCATTTAAGTATAGTTATTAGTTGTCATAAAGGTATTCTATATATATATACATATATAAATAATACATACTAGTCATCTGTTGGCGCCGGTTCAGCGTTAAACTCGAGACTACTTTGCACTTGCCTTTGAACACAGGTTTCCGGAAACTCCGGTTTTTCCTGGGCGGCGGGTTGAGTCGATGACGGTGTACAGTGATAATTAAAACTAGGTAACTCACAAAGAGATTTTAACCCCTGTCTAATTAAGACGATGTAGGATGTAGAACATCAGAAATGTGTTATCAGATATGCTTTTCATATTAACAATAATATATTAAAACCATATTCGAATTTGTTGTTACATGCTAAATGCAATTAACATGTTTTATATATTAAATTGGAGCTACCAGCCAATTTAACAGATGTGTATTTGTTGTTTTTAGCGCTATTTTAGTGAAGGATATATGAATATATGAATGCTAATTCGTCCCCCCCCCCTTTTTTTTAAAATATGTTTGAATTTCATATACACACATTTCTTCAACAAATTCACCTTTAAGACCATGCACTCAGGGTCAAGAGGCTCACACTATGGTCCTAATTACTGACTGACATTTAATAGGACAATAAACACAGAATGCATTTTTATTCAAAACTATTGATATTGTTAATGACTGCCAGATTACAACTGGAGTCATTTGTTTACAATCTTATTTTGAGACATATATTTCTAATTAATCTGGATGCTACATATTATCCACTTTTGAATGTGTAAAAAATAATTTCATAATAATTAAAGAGCCGGTCGAACATTTTGTTCATATATTATGCACATTTGTATGCAAATGATAGAACGGAAAAGCAAAATGATGCTATCTTCGAGTAAACCCCTACTTCCTTGAAAGAGATTTTTGGTGCTTACAAACAAATGATGAGTGCCCAAAATCCAGTGCTATAAAATCTCGGTTACATTGATTTTTTTCTCTGGGCTATTGCTAGCAGCAAATAAAGCCTTGAACATAACAATCTGTCCAATTTACATTCAAAATGTATTATTACTTTAGGCCTTACGACCCATACTTTCACATTCTACAATTATTTACGATAACGTGGCATATATAGGCGGATGAAGTAGCTATATAACTTTACAACATAAACGAACATATATATATTTAAGTCACAGTAGATGTGGAATGATAATATATGATATGCTTGATGATGTGTTGGCCAACTCGACCCCGTTTGTAGCCTTTACCTTGTCGCGCTGATAAGCTTGGTCGGGATACGGTAACTAATTTCAAAAGTTGATAGTGATGTCACACTCCACAACATACAGTTAAACGGGAGGGGTGATATCAGCATTATGACTTTAACATGTAGTTTCTATGTTTGATAATTATTAATGATCATTTAGCTTTTATCGAAATGTAACAGGGGTATTTGCACAATTTTGTTTGTGCATAAAGTGGGAGCACGTCTGAAAGCTAACATACCGCCAGAACAGGCTAAATGACCTTAAATGATATCAATGAATTTTTGTTTAGGGGAAGAATGTCGTGAAGGCTAATATGTAAACTAGGGTTGTCAACGGTTAGTCGGTTAACCGGTTACTCGGTCGGAAGACCACGAACTAGTTACCCAAATCGATAACCGAATAGTCGCACATTTAATTGATCGTTTTGAGAGCCCTATGTATCCCTGGCATAGACCTACAAATTATCTATAGATGCGACCGAAATCGGATATTTTTGTAATGACAACAGTGATCAGGGATAGCATATCAGTGTTGTGTTTGTACTCTATTGTTAATACTGACATAGAGGTGTCACCAACAACATAAAAAACTCTTAACAGATTTTAAAAGGAAGCAAAAATACAAAGCTGTGAAATATCAACTTTAAGGGATAGTACGGGCTTTTACATGCGAGATGTAAATATAATCTGAAGAGTACACACTTGAATAAGCAAGCATGTCTAAAAACGTTTGTCGATCAAATTTTGTTCTAAAAAACAATGTTAAACAGTAACAGTAGTCATTGCGGAGCAGCGATTGTTGTGAAAAACATCCCACTGCTTGGGACCTCTAACAGCAATCAGGGTGATTGTGCCGCGTAAGATATACTATTTACTGTTATTAACGTAAGATACCTACGTTATATAGTGACTGTGGATTCAATTATCAATATTTCTAATACCGATCAACTTTCGACCCAGACATTTTATTAGTGTTAATTTCGCCTCCTCATTTGCCACTTTCCAAAATAAACAAACTGTAAAAGTCGTACTTCTGTTGTGCTAAAATCTCTGCGTTCAGCGAAAGGGCTCAGGCCAGCCAGAAAAGTTAAAGAGAGTAGCACGTAATTAGTTACCTTGGCTAGCGAAGATGATATTACTGGATTGCTCATGAAAATATCCGGAACAAAAATGTCATTTATATCGTAATAAAATGTTGGTACCTGGACTTAGAGGATATCTTTTTGAAGGCTACGAAGAGTTAATATTAGACGAATGAAAATCTTTTGAAAGAATATGTAAATTTAAACAAAATAAACACGGATTTGTTTAGTATCCATCAGATATATATAGATCAATTGCGAAAATGCGACTATGCTATTTTTCAATTAAATAATAGGAATAACATACGCTTACTTGTTCATGGGATTCGCAAGGATGGAATCAGATCGTGACAACGGGAATCAGCAGCTTAAAACCCTTCAGTACTCAGCCCAGAAAATTACATCGTCCTAGACCTTTTATTTAAACACCGCATTTCAATTATTTTCTTTACACCCTCTATTTATATTTTGACGTTCATTTAAGCACGAGCTGATAACCCCTGCTGACGGTTTACACACGACATGGTAAGGAGCAAGAAGGATAACTCTCCAACCGACAATGATGAACTTGTCAAGTATAAAAGTTTGTTTTTATATATTTGTGGTAAACTAACTTTTAAATGCCTGCATGCTCTCTAGATGTTTGAATCATTACAGAAACTTGAAATGTCTTAAAACATGATAAATAATTTAAAGTATGAGCTGATGAATGGGTTTTTGGGCTGATGCGCGCATCCGCTAGCGAACCTATAGCTATCACCAGAATTCTCATGCAGTAATTATTAAAAATGGAGCTCGGATTATTACAGTTGTGGGATCGCACAACGTTACACGATGTGCGGTGTGCGCACGATGTGTGGACGGTGTGTGAACGATGCGTGCACGAAGTGCGAACGATAAAAAATTGGACGATCATTCCTTGCGCACATTTGTGCGGACGATCGACGAACGTTGGGCGATAACAATCGTGGTTGGTGTAAATTAAGGAATGGCTTGACAATATATACGGTTTCGTGTTTGAACATAAAATATATTTTTTAGTATGTTTCTATACTCTAGCTACATCTATAAGCTTATCTTTCTGTCTATACTTTCTTAAATTTAGAAATGGAGTTTTGTGGGGTTTTTAAACGACCCTAATCGACACGTGTAAATTTACAGCACAGTCTCGGCTACACAGGTAAACAATGCCACTTTGTACCTGGACCGTAGTTTACCCCGCCCGGGGCACTTACGTAACTCGCCAAGGTGTGAAAACCAGATGAAGGGGAGCTATAGACCAAAACGAATGCAAATAACAAATATTGAACGTCCAGTTGAGTTTTCATAACGGTCATACGGTGTCATATATCAGCTCTATGTGTCAAGTACAGGCCAGGTAAAACTCCGGTCACTCATCAAATTGTTATTTACCTGTTCTGTTACCGACGAGCCAAACCTATTCTTGACAGTCTAACAGTCAGTGTATACTGTATTGCACGCATTGTAAACTTGTACATACTCTTAATTATAGCAGAGACGTATAAATTACACTGATATATACAGTGTACATTATTGCATACGAGCATTCCGTATTTTTTCCATTCCGTAATATTGATCAACAAATTGTACCATATCGCACAGATGTGCGGAGAGAAGGGCACACCGGGGCGAACGATTGTTAAATCGCACAGTTGTGCGCACCATGTGTGGACGATGTGCGGACGGTGTGTGAACGATGTATGCACGGTGTGCGCACGGTATTTTTGGTGCGTTGTGCGTTGTGTCGTGTTTTATAACTTGTAACAGTCTGTGAAAAAAAGAGATGCCGTATTTAATAAGACGTTAGGTTGACAGTGCTGACAATAGGATTGAAAACCACATAAATAGTGTGTGGTTAAGGGAACTAAATGCTCAATTTATAAAGACATACAGTTGACAATTCTGACAGTAGGAGTATTGCTGACACTAAACAGTACGGTAGGTGTTGATTAGGGAACAGCCAAACGAACTGCATCGGTGAGGCTCTATTAATGTAAACTAAAGATGACACCGAATCTATAAAAAGGAAGTGTTACATGCAGATTATCAGTCGAGCTTGTCTACACAGATATGTCATGAATGCTGAATTTATCTGAACATATCACGCCTTCTGTTTATGTTCAGTGTTTCAAATGTCAATTAGTTTCGTTTTCAGCTTAGTTTTTCTAAGGGTTGCGGCGATTAAAATATGGGTCATGTGATAGCCATAAGGTCAACACTTTGCTGGTGACTCTCTGTTTGTCCTTCTGTCATAAATGCTAAATGACGTTTACATTTATAACATAAGAACCATTCATCACAAAGAGATATAAAGAGAGAGAGAGAGAGAGAGAGAGAGAGAGAGAGAGAGAGAGAGAGAGCCGGAGGTAATGTGATTCACACATTAGTACATATTTGTGGACAAATTCTTTTGTTTTGGTCGTAGAGAAGATATGCTTGTTTATTCGTAAACGATTTTCGAAAAAAAAGCGTTTCTGTTAGTCCTAAAAGTTAATATAAATAACAACAACGTATTTAATCCCCTTGTAACGTGACTCTGTCGCTATAAATCTCCTGTTGGCAAGCCAGCTTTCCTATTATTTAACATTAGTATCTTTTTGAACAAAGTGGACAATTGCCAAAATCTGTTCCTATTTTAGTGCATTTTATGCTCTCACAAAGAACAGATAAATTGCTTAAAATACTGGTTCTCAAAAAGTACATTTTTTCCGTTGTATATTCAAATCGACGTTTTTAAAACATCTTGATAACTATTAAACCTAAGCAGTCCCATATTATACTCATATTGTCACTTTAAGATAAACCAGTATTTTTTCTGAAAATTGATAATAGCGTATAAAAGATAATCTCTTATTTAAGCTATATAGTTCGATTGGAAAACGCATATTACGCTATTTTTTATGTATTTGACGCGGCGTAATGAATGCATCAGAAATTTCTGAAGAATTTGTCATGATTAGTATAGATGTACAAAGGTAACAACTCCGAAAAATTATTACGC